AAAATGCATTTCTTTTACACATAGAGTTTTGATTTCTATGAGAGTATATTTCCACTAAAGAAATGCAGGAAGAAAAAAAAAACACGTTCGTGCTCATAATAAACACTGCAAAAAGAAAAACACATGGCTGTAAATTTGTCTTTTTAATGCCACATTCTGATTACAGCCATGTGTGAAAGCATTTAGGCTACATCATTTGTTTACTTAGAGATCAAAACTCAATTTTTTGAGGTAGAAATAAATTACTTACCCACTTGCGTTTCTTTAGTGTAGTCTAAATATTCCTAATTTGATCACTTAGAAAGCAAAACAATATTTTTTTTCACCTTTGCATTTCTGTGTACTTTGCAAATATAACACCAATTTAATAAATCCAGTCACTGATTTTCAGTTGTTTGCTGTTTGTAGGCTACTTCATAGCAAACAACTGTAAACCAGTGACTGGATTTATAAAATGTGGAGAAATAAAAGTTTTTTAATCGTATATATTATGAAACACGCTCGTTTATGTATACTGTTTAGTAACTTTTATTTTTTTTATCTTTAATATTTTCGATATGTTTAACATTTGATTTGGTAACTATGGTAACCGAAATGACCGCTAACTACCGTTGAGCTCCGCCGGAAGATACAACGACGCGAATGGTTCTCTGAGATCTGCTAGACAACTATTTATTAAGGTATCGTACATTTTACTAGCATTTTTATTTCTTCAAACCGCAAGTAATGTTAACAGCAACAGAAATTAAACAAACGACACAACGCGATAAAACTGCATCGCTAATAACATTTCAACGAGGCATTGTCCCGCCGCTGCCTCGCGCAGACTGTTAAACAAACACTGTTAAGAACATGGACGAAGGATGAATTATATTCTTCATAAAATTTGTAGAAAACATGTACAAAATGTCCTTACTGAAATACTTATCCAGGTTATTGTTCTAAATAAATATAGGTAACGTTATTTGGTTTCAAAGAATTACTAATATGTTGCAGCTGAGGCCAAATCGCCATTATGTCAGAAATATAACGTTAGCAGGCTATATAATATCACACACAGCAGTATAATTGGGGGGAAATGTGCTTAATGGACTTGAAAAGCAATCTTTGAATCTGGTCTGCGTTTCCCAAAAGCATCGTATATAAGTTTAAGTACAACGTAAACCAATGGAGCTACGATCAACTTGCTTTTGGGAAACGCAGCCGTGGTTGAACCCATAATGTAAGTTGTGTGTCTCTTTGAGAAGATGTGGAAAGCGTGGCTGGACAGGGCTCTCCATCTGCAGCAGGACCTCCGTCGCTTCACTAAGCTCTATGAGCACATCATGCTGCTTGTGCTCCTGATGAACACTGCAATACAAGTAGCAATGACATTTCAAGGACTGGCACCAGGTAAAGATCACTGCAGCAGACTAGAAAACACGCAAAGTTGCAATCATTCAAACTGTTTTGTGTTTAAAAGCATGTACAATTACGTTGCTTTAAATCAGTGAAATAATGTTTTTTATTTTTTAATGAATTGGCTGACCGTGAAACGAGCATTTCTACAATGTATGGAAGCTTGTTTATGTCACACAAAAAAAGATAACTTATTTGCATGTTTTTTTCTCAGAATGTTGAGAAATAAACAAAGGATTGCGAGAAAAAAAAAAATTCTTAATTTTGAGATAAAAAGTCGCAGTTACCTTTTTTAATGCAGCATTCATGCCATTAGGCGACAACCTAAACACAACATAAAAATGACTGTGTGCATGTTTAATATCTCCACTGCGTTCATCAACTTTCCACTAGAAGTAACAACACCTGCGTACAATATTTTCACAAATGTTGAGTTGTTCTCATCAGTACTAACATAAGGTATTTACTGTTTCTTTCTTAGCTTGGGTTTATGAAGCACTGGAGGCAGTCTTCTTGGCTTTTTATACGATGGAGTGTGTGTTAAAGCTCATAAGTTTTGGCTTAAAATACTTCAAAAGCCTGTGGAATATTCTGGGTGAGCTGGCAAATCTGTTGTTTTCTGTGTCATTTCTTATTCTTATTTAAAGCATAATTCTTGTGAATTTATTTCATGCTTAATGCAAGCGAAAACTATCTATCACTGGGGTAGGAAAATACATAATTCATGATGCCTTTTTGAGAACAAGTCTTAATATTTGATGCAGCAGTTTTGTTTTATTTAAATAGTGTTTCGTCCTCTTTTCCAGTCAAATAAATGATGATGCAAATGATTTTTTTGCAGTGTATAGGAACTAACATAACATGATGTTTTATTGTTTATTTTCCCAGATTTCTCAGTCACTTTGGTAGGGTTGGTAGACCTTTTTCTGGACAGTACTGCAAATATATATTCTTAAGGACATCAAGACCTAAAATAAAACTCCAGAAAGGTGTAAAATATGGGACCTTTAAGTAAACGAGGCTTCTTTACATTGTTACTGTTTCCAAATTTCAATGGTTTGAAATTTCAACTTCAACAAAGTTAAATTCCTTGTGTGTGCAATAAAGCTCATTCTGATTCTGATAAAAGGTGTTTCTATCATAGACTGTAAAAAGGTTTCTATGTATGTTTGAGGGAGTTTTCGTTGCATTTACTCCATTCTGACCAGCAGGTGTCACCAGCATGTGGTGTTTCTAGTGCTTCCAAAAAGTGAATCATTTGTCGAAGCAATTGGTTCAGTTGACTGAAAGTTTGGAAAAAAAGGTGCTTCTTCCATCACTAATGAATCATGCAGTAACTTTGGACAAAGGGGTTGTTGTTAGGAGTTTATGTATTGTGTTTATGTACGGCATTTAAATATATATATATATATATATATGGCATAACCATTTGTAATGTTAGTCATTATTTTTTTTAGAGCAAATCAGCAGTGAGCCGACTGACGACCAGATGACCAAGGTTGCCTTCTCAGAAAACAATTTCTTTGAAGGGTAAGAAATGGATGTACATGCAGCTACAGGTTCCTCTTTATTTAGTGGATATTTACATAGATATCCAGTTCCAATATGGCCAGGCAACCCAGCACTGATTCATCTAAAGATACTTGAGTGATTTCAGCGTAGCTTACAACTTAAAGGGTTAGTTCACCCCAAAATGAAAATTCGGTCATTAATTACTCACCCTCATGTCGTTCCAAACCCGTAAGACCTCCGTTCATCTTCAGAACACAAATTAAGATATTTTTGATGAAATGTGAGAGCTCTCAGACCCTGCATCGACAGCAACGCAACTGAAATGTTCCCAGACAGAAAC